CTTCCTTGCTAATCCCTTCTGCCCTGAGAAAATCTCCGGTTTCTACTCTAAAATTCCCAACGTCTGACTTAATGAGGAAGGTGATTTCTACAAGTAATTCTAGACTGGATAAGAAAGAAACGAAAGGAACGAGAAACGCGAAAAGGGTAGTGATTCGCGAGCCTCTAATACCGCGACGGTAATTTCCGAGTCGATTGGACGGTCCGTAGAACACTGACGTGCTGAACGCCTCCTGTCGTGCGAAGGGTGTCGCGTAAGTCACCCTAAGATTTCTAAGCAACACGTCACTCTGACACTCCGACAACGAGGACGGCGACGGGGCCGGCATCGCTCGCAGCGGTGCGATCGATTCTTTCAGGAGGCTCTCGCCGGAAGGAAGGAAGGAAGGACGGGGACTTTTTTTCCACCACGTCCGCGAGCCGGAGAGCTGCGCGATCATTAGGATGGAAGCGCGATGGAAGCGATCGTTACACTTTCTTCGCCACTCTTCAACCCCGCTCTCCTTTCGTTTTATTCGAGCGAGATCAAGCAACCCCTCGAACACCTTCGAAGCGATAAATCAATGACTCTCTCTCTCTCTCTTCTCTCTCTTTCTCTCTCTCTCTCTCTCTTCCTCTTCTTCCTTCTCATCTCTCCCCCTTCCGAGAACTCCTCCCCCCGTTACTTCCGGCCCCCTAAGTCCTAGTCGACGACTATAAAAAGCCAACGGGCAATTAAGGGTGTTTTAGAGTGGCTGCACTCGAAAATCACCGGCCAACCCCGGCCGAAAAGTGGGGGAATTAAAAAACATTACTCATCATATAATCGCACGAGCGGTTCTCGGTGCTGTCTGTCACCGTCACTCTCCCTCGTTCTCCCTCGTTCTCCTTCCCTCTCGTTCTCCGGGGTGCTCGGACACGCTCGTCCTTCTTTCGCCTCCGACATGCCGGCAGAAAAATGAGAAATGATCGTGGCTCGATTCAGAGGTGCCTGTTTAAAATTCATGAACGATTTTACTGCGACCTCCCCTATCGCGGCCCGTCACAAAAGGGCGAGCAGGGCCATATCGAGAGAGGAGAGGAGGGAGGAAAAAAGAGAGCGAGAGAGAGAGAGAGAGAGAGAGAAATTGTGGCCCACATTTTCTCGACTATACATCAGCACAAAATCACGAGAGAATAAGAGAGAAAGAGCGAGAGAGAGAGAGAGAGAGGTGAGGGGTAAGGGGGAGAGAGGGCCGGCTCGCACCCCACGAAATATATTAATTGTCGAATTTTCCGTGCGAGCTGCATATCCGTTAGAGCCGCTTTGTGCCTTGCCAGGCGCGGATCTCTTGATTATTAATTACTCCGACCGCGAAGTGCACCCCTCTCCACCCTCCGCGGCTGTTACCCTGTTCGCGGCCGCGTTTCGAAGGTATAACCTCTTTTTTTTTATTGCGGTCGCAGTTTTAGCCGAAAAAATATAACAAATGTACGCGCCGGGCCATGCTCGTTAATTATCGCCCGAATTTCGTTAACGTACGCGCGCGCGCACGCGAATCGCCGAATTTTTATCGAGATAAAGTTGCGAGACCGTTTAATTTATCGTCGCGAATAAAAGCTGGAGGATCCCGAACACGCTACATAATTCCTCGACGATGGCATTCGATTTGTATAAATGCTATATAACACTAAAATATATGATAGATGCTATATGTAATAATAAAATCTCATCGATAATAATAGATGGCTCGTAAAGATTATCGGAAATGCTGTTTCGCCGCGCTTCTAAATTAGCGGCGACTAAATTTTCTCTACGAGCGGTCATGCTATTGACACATTAATTAATTCCACATCGACTACCCTGTCGATATCTCGATGTGGATCGAAGAATTTAGACGGAACTGCACGCCCAGAGAGACCGTTCGATCAACGTTCAGTCTTGTTTCGCGCGCATACGCGATAACGCATTTGTATATCGTAATTACAGCTGAATTAGTCACGAGCCGGCCGAGTGGCGAGGCTGACATATACGTATGTACATACCATTTTTTTTTTCAAAGCGCGGCACTAACGGGGGTGGCAAAAAGTAGTCGCACTTATCGAGTAAGAACGTCGGATGTAATTCACGCCTCGCCGCCACGAAGGGTTGTGATTTTCTTGATATTATTCATGAACGTTATGGCAGGTTGGCTCATGTAATATAATAGCCCTTCACAGTCGTTTTCTCTTTACGTACATTTTTCTCTGTCTTATCCGCCGTATTTCGTATTAAGCCGCTCGACGCGCGGCGCACTTTAATATATTTCTCTGGCGAAGGGCTGGTCCCCCTAATCGCGTGAGTACGCGCTCACTCCTATCGTGTTTATCAAAAAGTTCATAACGTTTCCGATATTATGTGGAAGGTTACGAGTTCGGTAATTCGTGCCGGCGCGGAATCGTCGGCACTTCTCTTGCAATTTCTGCGTTCTCTCTCTCCCCTGCCGACGTTTTCGCGAATCTCGCCGGCGAATCTCGGGCAACTTCCGCGGGACGCTTTTCACCCGTGAAACTTCGTGAAAAGCGTCCTAAAAGCATTATTATTCCCTAGCATTTTTAAAGCATAATGCAGTACGTGCGCGTCCTCCTTTAGAAATGCGCACAGTTTTTCGCTGCAAACTCGAAATATGCATAAACCAATGAAACGTAATTTACAAGCGTAATTTCCGCGCCTCTAATTTTTCCAGCGAATATAAATCTCGTTATTTCAATTCCGCCCCGGCGCTTTCGATTCCTGTTTCTTTCATGAAATTTCGCGAGCTAATATTTATAAAAAAAACTAATTCGCAATCGGTAATCCCGCTCAAATAAACGTTCTTCTCCCCGTGCGGCCGAGTCGAAATTTTGGTCCTATGGTAAACTTTTAATTTTACGACGTAGTAGGGACTGAGATAGCAAAATACTTTCAATTTCAAATCTAATAATATAATATAACCCCTACTTTTTTACTTGGATAGTGTTTTGAATTCTCGTTTTCGCCGTTTTAGCGTCAAAATAGATTATTGAAAGTAGCATTAAAATACACTCTGTAGAATCAAAAAATTCAAGAAAGAAATTGTAAAGTGTCAGTACCGTAAAAGTAGATTTTTATTAATTTATAGGCCGTTTAACACGTTCCGTGCCATGTGGGGCGACCACCGCTGCACTTTCCGTTCAGGCCATTTGCAATTCTCATTGAAAAACAAAGAATTCTTAAAAAATTTATTGTAGAGTCAAATATAGACAACTTCACATCACGTATACAGCGTTTATGACTTTTTTAAATCTTTAAAGTGTGGGTCGTATACGCCCCACGCGGCCTGAATGGAAAATCTTCAAAAATTGCCGTGGCACGGAACGTGTTAAGTAGACGTAAGCTTAAGAGCGTCCTTAAGAGCGTCAGAGTAGCATCAAAATTTCAGGTACGCACGCATGATATTTTCCCTTATTCGCCCCATTTTTCGCGTCAAATGTTACACTTTCGCCTTAGTATACCGATCAAACGTCCGACACACGCCATTCAAAGATTTCGTTCGCGCAGTCTTGCCCATTGCGCAGATGGAGAGAAAGAGAGAGAGAGAGAGAGAGGGAGAGAGAAAAAGAGAACAGCGTCAGCCGACGAAAAATAATTCGCGTCTTGCTTTTGCGGAAAGTATCGTGATTCTCGCGGTATAATTCGCGGCATTACGAGCAGTAACGTTCGGTTAATGCGACGGCCTTCGGCAGGGAATTTCGCCTTGTGTCTCTCCCTTCGTGTTCCATCGCGTTCGTTTCGCCCCCGTTACACGGTATCAACCCCCGACCACGGCCTGTTGATATATCTCTGTCTCGCGCGCGTCTAAGGGCGCTTTTACGTTCGCAGGTGCGGCGCGACCATACATACGTATGTATGTGTGTGTTTGTGTGCGCGTGTGTATGCCGTGTGGTACGCGCGTGTTTCACGTGTGTACGTGTAGGTGTGTGCGTGCCATGATACGCGATGATTAGGCACTGAAACTCCACGGGCTATTTGTTAGTATAATAAGCTCCCGGTAGTGTGGCCAACGTAACCACTTGGCGGCACGCCACCCCGTTTTAGCGTAATTGTCCCAGATCGAGATTTACATACGTGAGGAGGGTAAAGAGGGGTAGGGCGCGAGGGCGGGAAGGGGCCGGTCCCGGGGAGAAATTGCAGAAAGCTCGTGATTGCTTCGGGTGGCCTCGAAAGCCCAGTCGATTCTTGCGGCCGCGGCATACGCCGCGTTAAGAACGAACGGAATACTTGGAACGGATCTTATCGTTCGCCGTTAGATTCTGGAAAACTACCGTGGAACTACGTTATGCTCGCACGTACTTCCGGTGATCAAGCCCGTATCGCGATATCGCCGTTCGCACCGCCTCCCTCCTCCCCTGTTTTGACATCGGCAGTTGCCGCGCTCAGATCCATTTCGGCGATATCGCGCTGAGTGCGAGAATAACGATCTCTCTCGATCGACGAGCGAAAGTACGCCGGCCGTTTCTCAATGTTCGTACAATTTCGGCGGATATGTGAAACTGTACGCTGGAAGAAGGATTTGGATAATAAGTACTAAAATCTGGTGAATATTTGCCGACCTAACATTTGATTGCCGCACACTAAGTAATTTAGTTTCATATACTAAATACACAATGTACGGAACTACGGTGTTGTATGTACGGTATAGGAAACTAAATTATTTGCTTGCCGTTATCGAATATTTGGTCGGCAAGTATTCACCAAATTTTCGTACTTATCACCAAGTTCTTTTTCCAGTATACGTGGTACAAAGTTTTGTGTTAAATTCGACGCGTTTCGCACGTCTCAGGCGGTCCACACGAATTTTGGTGTTAATTTAATACGAGGTTAATATGTTGAAGTAGAAAATATGTTATTTCAACGTTCATACACGTTGAATATCAATTCACCACGAAATATATATTGAGATAACTTCCGATGCCTCCGCGCGAATAAATGCGGCGGGAGCAGAGTCGCGGTTGTTCACCCGGCCGATTTTCTTGTACTTTCAGAACGAAATGGAAGCGGCAGACGATCGTGGGCTTCGAGATCATGGCCGAGAACAACTTCGCCGTGGCGGCGTTCCAGCAGCTGTACGGGAGCGGCGCGGCGACCATACCTGCGCACCCCGCCGCCGGGCGCTACTGGCAGTACCCCGGCGCGCATACGTTACCCACGAACGGATTCTTCTACCAGCAGGCCTCGGCGGCGGCGACCCTGCAGAAGCCGCTTCCCTACCGTCTGTACCCGCCCACGATGATCTTAGCGGGGCCGAGCAACCCTTTGGGTTCTTTGACGGCGAGCTCCAGCCTATCCTCCCTCAGCAACTACTACAGAGACAGCCCGGAAATGGCCGACGGCCGGGACTCTTCGAGGAAGAGGGAGAGGAGCAAGAGTCCGGAATCGAGGGACAGGTCGCCGCCCAGGAAGTCGGCCGCGAGATTGTACCAGTTGCCGATGATGCAGGCGGGCCCCAGCAATCCCCTCGGCACCCTCACGGCGACCTCGAACCTCCCCAACATGAACAACTACTACAGGGACAGTCCGGAGCTGGTGGAGGGAAGGGATAACATGGACAGGTCGAGGAAGCAGGAGAGAAGCAAGACTCCGGACTCCAGCGACAGGTCACCCCTGAGGAAGGACGCGCGAGCCTATCCCTCGACGATGATCCAACCGGGTCCCAGCAACCCCCTCGGCCCCCTCGCCACGGCCGGTTCGAATCTATCGAACTTGAATAACTACTACAGAGACAGCCCGGAAATAGTGGACGGCAGGGAAGGTATGAACCGGGCGCGGCAACGGGAGAGGAGCCAAAGCCAGGACAGATCGCCCATGCAAAGGGAGGATAGCCCTCGGAGCATAAGGGCCGATAGCGACGAGGAGAGCATACACGATATCTAGAACATGGAGGTCCCTCGTGCCGCCAATGGCGTGTCCGAAACGTCGCACTGTGACTATGAAGAGGAGAAGGGGGAGGAGGATGACGACGAGTGCGTCACGCAGCAGGATTAGGAAAGCAGCGACGCGACCTCCTCGTGATGACGATGCTAAGGTGCGAGAGCGAGTGAATGGCGGACGAAGAAGAGCCGACTCGCCTCGACGAAACATTTTACTAGAAATATCGAGTACGTGACTCCCTTTGGAAGGTCCTTGTGAATCGGGCAGCTACCGGGAAGGTTAAGAGAGGAAGAACCTGTTCACGAGCATCGCGATGCGACATCGGGATAACGAGGTCGCTCAAATTTCAGCAGCTATCGCGCTAACAGTCGACGGATAAGAATCGACCCGCGCGGAATCGTCCCGTAGATCGATTGATAACAGCGCTTGCGTAATCCTGGCAGGACATCCTTGAGAATCGTGCAGGGTGATACGAGTCGCTACCGCGGGCGCGATCGGTAGAAGAAGCGAGCGCAGCCGGTGCAACGAGACGGTTCCTGAGAAGTCACGCCGTGATATACATACATGTACATACACGTGAGCAAGCGAGAGGCGAGCGAGTAGCACGTGGTGGAATTTGTTGCGACGTTATCGCGGCCATTTTTCGAGCCGGAGAAGCCGAGGAGATAGAGGAAGAGAGCGGAAGACTCGGAGACTCGCGCGACGATTCGAAGGAACGAAGCCGAAGGGATCAGATGCGCGAACGCACACGGCGGCCGATTCCGTGAGGTAGCACAGGAAGTGACATAGCACGGGACGTCCGGGATTTTGTAGATAATGGGAGCGAGCAGGAAATATCGTGCGGTTAACCGAACTTTGTGATTTGAGCGTTCAGTGAATGACGGCTCGCCGCGAAACAGTATATTCGGCCTCGACGCGAGCCTCGCCGCGCAGAACGAAACTAACGAAAGTAAAACTAAACTGTGCGCGCGCTCCCCCTCCCCCCCCGGAACGGTTATCCCTCCGGGCAAAATAGAGAGAGAGAGAGAGACTCATTGCTATTCATTCGTCGTTCGTGTTCATTATTTCATTTCCACTCCTCCGTGCAGAATACAACGATCCGACCCGCCGTTCCGAAAGGGAGCACTTATATTTTGCCGATACACTTCGGCGACTTACAAAGTGAATTTTGTTTTACGTTCCCCGTGTTTTATTCCGATCGCAATTATCGCCCCACGTTGATTGCACTGTGATAATTATTATTTAATATCCGCGGAGGTGTTGTATATTGTGTAATTTCATTGCTACGTTTCGTTCCCCCTTTAGTCCTCGCAATCGAGTCACGCACTCTCAGGTTCGTATTAACAGCTGTTACTTGGAACTTCTCTCGAATGGATACTCGGGTTTTCATTCAGAGATTAGATGCGAGACTTTCAGTTTGAACAGCGTTCGCGGATGTAGCGTCAGATGTATCGTATGATTCGACCGAAAAGAGTTCCGATTTAACTCTGAATTGAGATCTGAATGTCTCATTCTCTAAAGTGTAAGCGGTGTATTATCAGTGAGAAGCAGTCAATAGTCACTAGTGATCATAATTGGGATACTTGAAGCAAGTAATGTTTACTTGAACGCGGTATGTATTTTCTTGTGCTCATTAAACATTAAACGAATACTCCCCGATTATCGGTAAAATACCGTTTCAATGATTCACTTGGCGGCACTTTCACTTATTCAACTTGGGAGGGCACACGAGACAAATATCAAAGCGACAACTATTAATACGGACCTCAGAATGCGACAGAGACGCGTTTCGTCGCGACCGATGATCGACTCCGAGGGTTTCTTCCTTTGCGGGATGTCGCGCACGACGCCGATTCTAACACGACGCGAACAACGCGGCGACTATTTCGCAGTGCCAAAATTTGCTCGTCACACGACTCCCTTAATCTCGCAATTTCCAGCAAAACACCCGCCGCAAATTCCCCCGCCCCGACACGTCGTGAATAAAAAGGATCCATTCATCTGCGAAGAAAGCAATCAATATTCATGAACGAAACGAAATTCAGCTTTCCCAATTTACCAACGTACAATCAATCCGGCAGCATCATATCCGCGCCGGGCGGATCGACCCGATCGGGTATTTTCGCAACGAAAAACTACACAGTACGAGAAACCGCGCACCGGTCGAAAGGCCCGCACCGTTGGGCGCTTTCGTGCGTCGGTCACGAGTTGCGCCAGGAAACGGGCCAATCGCGGACGAACGCGAATCTACAATTAATATGACATTAGGGGGACCTGGCCGCGGGGGAAGAAATCTAAAATGACACGAAATTACACGCGGTCGCCACGAACGACAAAAAAGAACGGGGCAAGAGGGGGCGGCATCGGGGCACCGAGCGAGCGAACGAACGAGCGAGCGAACGAGCGAGGGGGGAACCCTGACTATTCAAATAACCGGCGTTCTCGTGGCGGCAAAGCGAAACCGGCACTTTGCCCGCCGTTCTTCTCCGGCGATGAAGCAACGAATCGACCGGCTAATTAATATCGACGAGACGACGAGATGTAAAGCGACGCGACGGCACCGAAAATTGCACCGACAACCGGCCGATAATTTGCGAACAACAACGGCCGAAACTTGCGGCGCGTCCCCGGGAGGAATGTCGTGCGTGCGGTACTTCGGCGGACGGTCAATGTGAGTAAAAGCGAAAAGGAAGATCGAGAAAAATAACACGAAGATCGGAAGAGGATCCTCGTTTCCATTGGCATGAAGCAGTTGTCGTTAGAGCGATACGCGCGATTCGCACGATAAACAACGATGACGGTGCGGCGTTTACGTCAAACGACCGTGATTACACGTTCGCTCCGCGAAACAATTGCGCGGAACAATGTCTCGATCCTCTTAGGGCCAGGAATCCTACTCTGGAAATTGCCGGTATTGTGTGCGGAGAGACGTAAGTGTTCGCGGGGACATAAAGAACGCGCGTGAAGTCTCAGGCGCGGATGTAATGAGTTTCAATCGCGAAGTTAAACGTTTGATTGCACGAGCGAGCATACAGTTCGCGTTTCTGCGTTTTCATTTACGAGGATGCGCAAACGCTCACGCTGAAAACTCCGATTCTCAAGATTACAGGCAAATCTTCCTCGAGCAGCTCGGCGATCTTGCGTTACCTTAAAATGAGACTGAAACACGACCGACACGAACGGAGAACGTACACAGAGAAAAAAATTTGTATCAAAATTCAAGACATATTCTATGTATAAGTAAGAATATATAGTTTTATATGAAGGTAGAAATTACTTACACGAAAACATTTTATATAGTTCCACGAGAAATATCGCATTTTTAATATTCACGAATACAATTTTTAATTTGAAGATATCGTTCTTTCTATCTCATTTTTTTCTCTTATTTCATGAAAGTTATTCTTAAATACTAGAAATATGATATTCTTAGTAGAACTATATACACAGAAAAAAATATTTGTACTACAAAGAAAATTACTCCGTTTATTTATTTTTTCTTTTAAGTAATGTTTATGTTGAGTAAAAAAATATTTTCTTGATAACAGTATTAAAATATACCCATCACAAATATCAGAATTATTATTTATTCAAAAGAAGAATTTGTCCTCTTTTCGAAAATATGCACCTCATCAAACAAAAGTTAAATTCGGTTAATTAATAAGTAAACCGAAGTTTTAATTTTAATGTTTTAATTCAATATTTTTGATTGAAGTACTAAACTTACTAGGATTCACAATACATTTTGAATAAATTTATTATATAATAAATTAATATATAATAAATCAAATGTGTTTATGATGAACTTATGAGATACTTGAAACAAGTAATATTTGCTTGAATGGAGCATGTATTTTTCTGTGTGTAGAATTTCCTCGTGCAAGCAAGTTTCCTCTTCATATAATATTATACATTCCTGTTTATATATAAGAATATAAATTTTGAACTGATACCAATTTTTTTCCGTGCGACATTTCTGAGAAGGAAATTCGTGATTTCGCATCGTTTCGACCAATTGATTGCATCAGTGGCCCCGAGATGAAAAAGTCGTTTTCTCACAAGCTGAAAAATCAAGTGTTACGCGGGACGAACGTTCGTCCACATGGAATTCTCATAGCGGCGAATCTCTCGGTTCGTGCGAGGAGCGGATCTCCGCAACTTTGAGCGCGTAGGAGCGACCATTCTTCTTGTAAATATAGCAAGTAACGCGCGATTCACGCGCTTGGGAGTGCACGAAGGTGTAAATATACGAGGAAGGGAAGTCGCGGGCGCGGAGAATTGAACGGTGAACGCGGGCGGAAAAGAAAGAGTCCGTAGGACCTTTAGGCCAAGATACGATATACGAGACATTTCAAAGTATTTTTCAGATTTCGAATATACACGCGCGCGTAGCGGAACGCGCGAAGTGCGTTCTCGAGAGGTCGCGTGCCGGGAAAAATCGGGCAGTCTTTTTCCGCGCCGCGCTGTCGTCCCGCGTTTCCCTCCTGCCGGCGGAAAGCGCGGCGTCTCGATGTTTCGAGGACACGACGCGGACGCGTTCGATAAGAAAGAACATACCAGTATTATGAATGTATAAAATTAGGCGACGTGCGACGCGCGAACGGAAGTACGCGTTGTACGGAAGCGCGATGCGTCGTGGAAAATTCCGGCTGGCGACCAGATCGCCCCCCGTACGACGCCTTTAGTGATTAAGTATCGCTGCGAACACACACATACAAATACACTCACACAACACGTGAAACACACACGAGAAGTACTTATTAGTATATAAACCATGCTTTGTAAAATAATGTCTGTATAGCGAGAATTATTATATGGAAAATATATTATACTAAATTTAATCTGCCCTGTGTGTGTTTTCTTCTCTCGAAATCAATTTCGACTCGTGCCGGATCGCGTCGCGACGGATCGTCTCGCGATTTCAAATCGATTCATTCAGGCAGATCCATTTTTTTATATGGAGAAAAATATTTTGCCGACACAGAACATTGTTAGCCACTGTAGGGACAGCAAAAAATTTATTTGAACAGTAAAAAAGTTTATTAAGAGTATTAATTGCTATTTGTTAACTGCTGGATATATAGACAGTAAAATAATTTGGTGATGCCAACTTAATTTTATTAAGAATGAAAGATTTTTTCTCATGTAACAAATCATTTCGTTGCCCCCGTAGTAACTAACAATTTACCGTACCGACAATATTATTATTTATCTGTGTATTTGCATCAAAATTAGAGCGCGCATTATGGGAATCTTTGAGATTGTTGAGGTTTTCCT